TATATATATATATATATATGTATGTATATAAGCAGTGCATTTCATAAATGCATGCAGATGACTCTTTTTCTATTTCACAATATTCATTATTTTGAAGATGAAAGTATACAAAATGGCTCACTAATAAAGTGAGGCATTTATTAACTCTTGTTCTTATATAGAAGTATTTGCTCGATAGTATGTGTATGAATTATTATAATCGATCAATCTGGATTTCTGACTGCTTGAATTTGTCTTTTGTTGTATATGATACTATTTTTGGTGTTTTTTTTTTTTTTTTGTTGTTGACGCAGTTTTCTGCTGGCCTTATAGCCTTTTGCTCTATACTTCGGTTGGTTTTCACATCCGTAGTCTAGTTTGTCTGTTTGGCCATGGGTAGCTCTGGAAGAGCTGTTATGTGAAAATTGCTGTGGGAGAACGTTCTTGGGAATGCTATTTTTCTTACCAAATGCAGTTGGACAAATGTAGTTGGCTAAAAACAGTTGGACCAATTGTAGCTTGACGAATGCAATTGGTCGAATGCGGCTGGTTGAAAGTAGCTAGCTAAATGATGGATGGATGAATGACAACTGACCTAATGCAACTGGACGAATCCAGTTGGTCATATACAACTTATTGGTTTATATGATAGGAATGATTTATCTTGAACAAAAACAAAATGAAAAGGAAATCTCATGAGATAAAGTGATTGATTAATAGTGTGATTTATGACATGGCAAGTACTAAGACACTAATTAAATTAGAATACATTTGAAGTTGTTTCATACTATTAGGTCAAAATTATTCCAAGGGGAAGTGGAAACAACAATTGAGGATATGCTATTTTACATAAAGAAGGTCTTTGAGGATATTGATTTGTTGGATCAAGAATGCAAAGATCACCCTTTAATATATTAGCTTGAAAGGGAGATTTAGTGGTGCTGGTTAGACAACCATAATCAATATGAGGAGGAATTCTTCCTTCACTATCATAAAATACATAGCAATATATTATATGGGTAATACTTGCTCCATCTATAACAAATCTCAACATTCCTCACCATGTTATTAAATGAGTTAGCTACTCTCCTCAATTTCATCATTCAAGTCTATTAAAATATTATTTACTTGTTGTATAAGTCATGATTTTTATGGGCATTGAGTGTGCATGTGGTGTATTTTTCACAAATAAATTAAGTCAAATGCTTTTCATTAATAAGTGAATAGTAGTGAATTTAATTATTGGTTATCAAATAGTCCAAGAATTAAATGAAAGGAGACCTACCAAAGAAATTTATTGTTGAAACATTCCATCACCAAGGCTCAATGATGTGTGGCATATTATATTGACTCTAATGCGCTTCATAATTAAGTTCAAGGTTAAAGTATTTATGGCTTAGGTCTATTATATGGATAGCATTATTTAAAAAGTGATAGCATACAATTATCAATTCATCAAATTTATTAAGATATTAACATGAAAGTTGATTATTTTCTTTGTCAAAAACTCATTATTTGCTAAATTAAATATCAGTTAAAAATATAGGAAGATTTACATACATGCAATTGATTTATGTGTGTAAATATCTAATACCTAAAAGGTGTATTTCACTTTTTTTAAGTTAAACTAGTGATTTTTTTTCGAAGATTTACATACATGCAATTGATTTATGTGTGTACATATCTAATACCTAAAAGGTGTATTTCACTTTTTTAAAGTTAAACTAGTGATTTTTTTTTTTGTGATATGAAAGATTTGGGTGGTATATATGTAAGAATTTTAAAGAAGGTGTTAGTTATGTAAATACGTAGAATTAGGTGGGCTATTGTACACTCAAAAATTCCTTGCATGAATCTTAAACAATCTAATGGTCCAGATTAAAAGATATGATAGGTCCCCCTAATGAAAAAAAAAATAGAAGCATTCATGAAGCCAACCAGCTAAAAACCACCAGCTAGTCGATAGCCAGCTGATCAAAGAGCTGATGATCGACCAAAAGATTGTCGAACGACTGAAGGCCAACCCAATAACCAAAGAGTCAGTCGGGCCCACAAGAGACAAACATCCACGCTAACGAACAAATGAAGGTTTAACCCCCAACAAGCTCACAAGTATCAATGATAATCAGACATGCCAGCCAGTTTTCCAGAGCAAAGACTGACTGATATTTAAACAAAAGGCGGATCGACTTCCGAGAGTGAAGGCTGATCGGTGTCCACACAAAAAAAAGTGTCAGGATCGGTTATAAATACGAAAAGGCAAACCAAAACTCAATAATATTTTGTAGTGCCCCTATTAAATCAAAGGCAAGCATGTAATTTTTTTCTCTTTCTCCCTCTATTTATATAAATAGAGGGACCATAACATCTATTTTTGGCTTTTGGTTTTTTTTCTCTAGACATATCTCCTACAGAGAGAACTCTCTCTCTTTCTTTCTTGTAACTGACACTTACAAGATATAAAATAAGTCATAGAGCTCGAGAATAACTCAGTTTGCTCCTACGGGGAAACTCTGTGTGTGCACTTTCTTGCTTTCTCTCTCTATGTGTCTCTCTCTCAATCTCTCTTCTTTGTTTCCTATCGCTCTAATCTTTAGGCACACCTTAAAGGACAAATATAGATTCAACATCCTAAAATGTTATGTGAGCATGGAGTATGCTACGAACAAGAAGGGAAGTGACACTCCTAGTAGGGAGCACACTAAGGAGTTCATGCAGCAATAGATCTTGAGCTGACTGCTCTATTTTGCCTCATTTTCCTAGAGGCCTTGCCTAGGAAGCGAGTACCACAAAATGGATGGCCAACTCCCAATAGTCGAAACACACCGATTGATGATTCCTACACAATGCTT